ATTAGCTGTCAGCACACAGTGTGCACATGATTAACGCATGAATATACTGATAGACTCCAACCATGTCAGCTACTCCTGACTCAGTATTAGATCCCAGCACACAGTACAGACAGGTTAAAAGCCCCAAGATACTGATAGACTCTTTATTACCTTTGCAACTGGCAATATAATTGTCACAAGAGTTATACCCCAACATGCAGAAAAGTAAAAACCCACAAAAGGTGGATCCGAAATACATATTACAGAGTCTTAAAATTTATTAATACAGCAAGAAACAAGGACAACATAAGCTAAGGCCAGGAATAAAAATATACTCAAGACAGCAAAAACATATATGAGGAAGGCTGAACTTGATAGACGCAAGTCTCTTTTTAGCTATGTAACTATGTCACAAAGCAGGGTCAGAAGGATACCAGAACATCCCAAAAACAAATACAAAGTCGGGTGAGGATATCAGAAATCACAAGGTCAATACGAAGCCGAGGTCAAACACAGAAAATCACAAGGGAATCACTAGGAGCAAAAAGCAAGTATCTATACAGAAACCATGATAGGGCAAAAAATAAGGGCCAAAGCAAGTCTTAGCAAGCCTTAAATAAGCTTATCTGTGTTCTGATTGATCCATGTCATCATTGCGACTCAAAACAGATTAGGGTCAAAATTATGACGTGGTTACTTTAAGTGCGGGTGGGACGTCACGTTTATAATCTATTTAAAGCGGGCAGCATCTGAAGGTCAGACAGCGGCTGGACACCTGCGAATGCAGTGGAGCAATTCTCCGGTGCTATAGGGTAAGTTATTTTATTTTTAACTGGGGCAGGAGGAGGACTGCGTGGGCCGGTTAAGGTAAGTAAAGCTAAAATAATTACTTTGCAGTGGTAACATGAAGCCAAGAAGTAGATGACATAGTTTACAGAATCACCAATCTTTACAGATTAAAACAGACTAAAATCAGAATGTGTGTGTGTGTCCCAAAAAGCTTCCTCTGCTCCTCCTGCAAGGCATTTCCTGTGTAAGAGGCTGTTAGTGGCAGATGGGCAGTGATCCCTTCCACACAGGAGGAGCTGGGACAGCACTGGGTTTTACACCCTCTATAATGGTTTGTACAGCTCTGCTATTAAGGCTGACTGGACTACAGAGGACACTGACCAAGGCTCCTGGTACTTATCTCCCCAACTTAGTTAAGCTCAAAAAAAGCACATTATAAGTGCTGAAAACAGACGCCCCTAGTGGTCATGCGCTTGTAGGTACAGGTGATACTCGAAAAATTAGAATATCGTGCAAAAGTTCATTTATTTCAGTAAAACAACGTAAAAGGGGAAACTAATATATGAGATAGACGCATTACATGCAAAGCAAGATAGTTCAAGCCGTGATTTGTCATAAGTGCGATGATTATGGCTTACAGCTCATGAAAACCCCAAAATCCACAATCTCAGTAAATTAGAATATTACATGCAATCAATAAAACAAGGAGTGAACATAAAACAATATCGGACCTCTGAAAAGTATAAGCATGCATATGGACTCAGTACTTGGTTTGGGCCCCTTTTGCAGCAATTACTGCCTCAATGTGGTGTGGCATGGAAGCTATCAGCCTGTGGCACTGCTGAGGTGTTATGGAAGAGCAGGATGCTTCAATAGCGGCCTTCAGCTCTTCTGTATTGTTCGGTCTCATGTCTCATCTTTCTCTTGGCAATGCTCCATAGATTCTCTATGGGGTTCAGGTCAGGCGAGTTTGCTGGCCAGTCAAGCACAGTAATCCCAAGGTCATTGAACCAGGCTTTGGTGCATTTGACAGAGTGGGCAGGTGCCAACTGCTGGAAAATGAAGTCAGCATTCCCACAAAGCTCGTCTGCGGAAGGAAGCATGAAGTACTCCAAAATCTCCTGGTAGACGTCTGCGTTGACCCTGGACTTAATGAAGCACAGTGGACCAACACCAACAGATGACATAGCTCCCCAAATCAACACAGACTGTGGAAACGTCACACTGGACTTCAAGCATCTTGCAGTGTGTGCCTCTCCATTCTTCATCCAGACTCTGGGTCCTTGGTTTCCAAATGAGATGCAAAAGTTGCTCTCATCAGAAAAGAGGACTTTGGACCACTGAGAAACAGACCAGATCTGTTTTTCTTTAGCCCAGGTAAGACGCTTTGTTTGTTTTTCAGGAGCGGCTTGACAAGATCAATACGACATCTGAAGCCCATGTCCAGGATCCCTCTGTGTGTGGCGGCTCTTGATGCACTGACTCCAGCCTCAGTCCACTCCTTGTGAAAGCCCCCAACACATTTGAATGGCCTTTTCCTGACAATCCTCTCCAGGCTGAGGTCATCCCTGCTGCTTGTGCACCTTTTTCTTCCACACTTTTCACTTCCACATAACTTTCTATTAATGTGCTTTGATACAGCACTTTGGGAACATCCAACGTCCTTCGCAATTACCTTTTGAGGCTTTCCCTCCTTATAGAGGGTGTCACTGATGGTTTACTGCACAACTGTCATGTCAGCAGTCGTCCCCATGATTGTGATTCCTACTAAACCAGACTGAGAGACCATTTAAAGGCTCAGAAACCCTTTGCAGGTGTTATGGCTTACTTAGCTGATTAGAGTGGGACACTGTGAGCCTAGAATATTGCACCTTTTCGCAATATTCTAATTTACTGAGATTGTGGATTTGAGGTTTTCATGAGCTGTAAGCCATAATCATTGCACTTATGACAAATCATGGCTTGAACTATCTTGCTTTGCATGTAATCCGTCTATCTCATATATTAGTTTCCCCTTTTACGTTGCATTACTGAAATAAATTAACTTTTGCATGATATTCTAATTTTTCGAGTATCACCTGTAGGTGCCTACTCTGCCTTATGGGAAACCAGCCCAGATAAACCGCAGCAAATAAATATATCCCCACATAAAAACCAGTGGGGTGCTGCTCCAAGTGCCTGTCTGCATGAGTTAATGATGTGCAGTGAAGGGAAAACATCAGGAAAATACATTTTGTCACTAAGACCTAAAGAAGCTCTGTCACATTTTAATATTTCATAAGAAAAAAAAAAAAATTATATATATATATATATATATATATAAAATATATGTTGACTGCATTTGAATTACATTGAAATTCCAATGTAATCAAAAGATTTGATAAGACAGTACAGCAGTGTCTTTAAATTATGATTTAAATTATGAAGTCTAAGGCTATCAAGTTTCTCTCAACAAGAATTAATTCCCAGCACCCATTGCTAGTAGTAATGTCCCGAATGGTTCGCCGAACGGTTCGCCACAGACGGCGAACATATGCGGTAAACTTTGACCCTGTACCTCACAGTCAGCAGACACATTCCAGCCAATCAGCAGCAGACCCTCCCTCCCAGACCCTCCCACCTCCTGGACAGCTCACTAAGAATGCAGCTTCACAATGAATGTAAAATGGATGTTGTCCAGGAGGAGGGAGGGTCTGCTGCTGATTGGCTGGAATGTGTCTGCTGACTGTGAGGTACAAGGTCAAAGTTTACCTCATATGTTCGCCACGGCGAACCGTTCGGCGAACCGTTCGGCGAACCGTTCGGGACATCACTAATTGCTAGCGATTACTTCTTGTGTTTTTCCATAGACCTCTGTGTTTTCCTCCCACATGCACAAGACTACAGCAGTTGCACAGGCTCCTGGTGGATTTAGCGTATGACCTGAAGACAGATGGACAAAGATGGTGATGACCATGAGAGCGCAACAAATAAGTATTTCTCCTGTTTACTTCTTCCCTGGATCATTGCACGCAAAATCTTTGTTCTCTAAAGTGACAGGACTGCTTTATTAATATTATTTATTTAGCACCAAAATATTCTGCAGCATTTTACAATTATTGAAAGAGGATATCTGACGCCAAGTAATTGGCATACAGAGAAGAGCTTACAATCTATTAGGATATATATTGTAAGGTGTCTCGCCCAGCAACACTTATTGGTGAGGTGACCCATAGAGCTTTAAACTCGCTGGGTATAAGTGTTATTTACCTAAATACCCATCAACCTATTTTAACCCTTAATACACACCAAATGTATATTCCCTTAAAAACAAACAAAACAAAAAAACTTAAAAAATATTTACTTACAACATTTTCACAGCTTGTTGTGAGAGAACTTTACACAGGGCTTTAATAGATCAACCATCAAAACAAGGGATGTTTATTAGTGATTTCTTTTGTGATTTAAGATAGTTATTATAACATGCCTCTAAGTAACAATGTATAGAAAAATATATTTCAGCATAAAAAATACACAAAACATTATTAACTAGGCATGTCCAACCCAGCAGGCAGGGAGTCCATTACGTACTTGGCTCGTCCGGCACAGCCCTCGCACGCCCTGCAGTGAATCACTACTGGGTGCACTAGTAACTTGTACAGGAAGAGCACAGTGATCCCATCACAGAAGCAACCACTGGCCACCAGGCAAAGGATCCACTCCAACCCTCTCAGAGTAAATGTGTTTATATGAATAGGATTTTTCTGTGTCTATGTCCTTAATTATGTGTCTGTGATTGTATGTGTTTGGGTTTGTGATTGTGTTTGTGTGTATAGGTCTGCGCTTGTGTGTATAGGTCTGTGCTTGTGGATGTGTTTAGTAGACAGCTTCCTAACTTGGTAACCTTAAATATAGCAATTCCATATAAGGATAACAAATAAAGGAGTTCTCTCTCAAACAAATGAAATACAGGAATACCTCGCTTAACGCTGTAGATAGGTTCCAACTGCTATGAGTGCTAAGCAAAACAGCTCTAAACAGGGCAGTTTAACATGGGGTAGATAGGCATAGGGAATCAACTTTGAAAAAAAGACACAACACCAATAGAATTTTAAAACTTTTAAAACTTTGTTTACTTGCTGTGAACTGCACACAGCAGCATAAATAAAAAGCTAAATAAACTAAGGGTTTTGCACCCAATAAATTAAAGAAACAGTACCAAATTAAAGTAACAGTCCAAAAAAAAAAAAGGTTTAAATTGTGGATGTGGAGGCTCTGGAGTCCTCTTCCTGCCTCGTTTTTTTGGCCACAAATTTGTCAAGGGTCATTTGTCTATGTTTCTTGGGGCTATCCAGCAGATGGCGGTAGCAAGACACCCCTCCCAGCACAATGCGCCATGCATTCCTGTTCCTAGTTGCATCAGGATCATTGGCCACCAGCTTATCCATTATGTCATTGACCTGATGCAATGCCCTGTTTAGGAGCTCAGAGGAAAGCTCTTTTGGAGGCTCAGTGTCCGAGTCGCTGGTGTCCTGAGGTCTCTGTTTGCCCTGTTCAGCCAGTTCTTCAAGGTCATCATTGTTGAGGCTCTCACCTGAAGCCTGGACTAACTGCTCAATGTCCTGAGCATCTGTCTCCTAGTCCAGCCGTGGTCACAAGGTCAACTATCTCCGCTATGATGGGCTCTGGTAGTTGCACATCCTCACACAGCTCTGGCCAGATCTTTTTCCACACAGCCTTGAGGCACTGCTGTGTCACCTCCTTCCAGGAAAGATCAATGTTGGAGACAGCCTTCATGATGTGGTGCTGCTTCCAGAAGTCCAACATTGACTGCTTGTCCTCGCGGTCCGTGTGTTCAATCAGCTGATGGATGTGCGGCAGAGATAGTAGGCCTTGAAGGTGGTGATCACCCCCTGGTCCATAGGCTGGATAAGCAACGTTGTGTTGGGCGGTAGGAACAGGACCTCCACAGGAATTCAGGTGGGCAGCTCAGCCAAGTTAGTCGGGTGGCTCGGCGCATTTTCCATGATGAGCAGCGCTTTCTCCTCCAGTCCCTTGCGCCGACAATAACGCTGCATGGAAGGGCAGAAATGGTCAGTGAACCACTCTAAATATATCCCTGGTGATCCATGCCTTCCTGTTTGCCTTCCAAATGACTGACAAGCTGGACTTGCTAATGCCCCTCATTGCCCTTGGTGTCTGGGAGTGGTATACCAGCAATGGCTTTATACGGAAGTCACCGCTGGCATTCCCACCCAAAAGAAGGGTCAGCCTGTCTTTAACCGCTTTAAAGCCAGGTGCTCTCTTCTGCTCCCTGGAGATGAACGTGCGGCTTGGCATCCGCTTCCAGAAGAGCCCGGTCTCATCCACATTGAAGACAACCTCCGGTGGATAGCTCCCTCTATCCACCACGTCCTTTAAAGAGGCTGGAAAAGCTGCAGCAGCTCCAGTGTCCACACTTGCTGCTTCACCAGTGATCTTAAGGTTGTAGAGGTTGTACCTTTTCTTAAAGCGGTCAAACCAACCTCTACTTGCTGCAAAACTCTCCATCACATCTGGATGAAAGCGTAAATGCTCTTCGCCTTCTCCATCAAGATGGCCTGGCTGAGAGGCATGTTACGCTCCAGCTCATCATCTATCCATATGGAAAGCCTCTCCTCCATCTCCTCAAGAGCGTAGGACCTGGAGCGGGTGATCTTCTTGGCTGAAGAAACAGTGGTCGTCACTGAAGTGCGGATCTTATCCTTGTTTTTGAGGATAGTGTGGATAGTGGAGGTAGGCAAATGGAGATCTGCCCCGATATCTACCTGGCACTCTCCTTTATCCAGGCGGTCCAGTACTTGGATCTTGATAACCAGAGGAATACTCTGGCGCTTGCCCTTAGCCTTCTCCTCTTTGCGCTCAGACATCTGTAAAACAGTATAAAAATACAATGAATGTAGATTTTCATAATGCAACACAATGGAACAATGACAATACAGTATTCTGTACTGTACCTTGCCAGCGGATGTTCTCTGCAGGATATGGGGGTCTCTGATAACAATCACTAGATGTGACTATCTGCATTACCCCCCCCCCCAAAAAAAATAATAATTGTATAATTAATAATCACTTTATTTAAAACAAGGGAACAAAGAAAGTTACAGGAAACAAAGGGAACAAAGAAACAAGGGGGAAAATTGTATTAGATAGCTAATAATAATCACATTATTACAAACAAGGGAACAAAGAAAGTATTCTGTACCTTGCCAATGGATTTTCCAGGTTGGATTTTGCTGTCTCTCTCTCTTTCTGGCTCTCACTGGTTCTTTCTCCCATGGTGCCCCTGTTAACGCTGTAACGACGCAGTCATGCTCTTTTAGCGTTAAGCGGGTCGAGCACGGAAGAAAAACAGCGCTATAGTGGGGTTTAGTGCTCTGCGAGTACCAGTACGGTATCAGCGCTATGCCTGTATCAAAATAAAAACGAAATATCAAAGCCATTTTCCTGGCACTATAGATTTAATAGATCCCCCTCTCTCGCACTCCCCCTCCCGTGGGGCTAAAGTGGTTAAAACCCCTTTAACCACTTACCTGAATCCAGCGTCGATGCCCCTCAGTGCTGGTCAGCCTCTGCACACGCTGACGTCAGCAGGGGAGACCTAATGCGCATGCGCGGCAATGGCTGCATGCGTATTAGACCTTCCCATAGGAAAGCATTATTAAATTCTTTCCTATGAGGAAAATATGACGCTGGAGGTTCTCATGCAGAGCGTGAGAACATCCAGCGTCAGATAACGGACCAATGGTTTGTTTGGATTCCGATAGCGCCCCCAGTGGCTGTCACTATACACTATCCTTTTCTACTCTATTTATGGTAAATTTATGATATATCTAAACAGTAGACATTGTCCTGTATTAACACTTCATTTGACCTGTGTCAAGATATAGGTCTTATAACTACGCACGTTACACCCCTCCATATTAATTTCATTCTCTTCTATTCTTACCCTTTAACTGTTTAGTGAGTCTCTCCCTTATTCGTCTTTTCTAATCTAATGTATGTTGATATAAGCCCACCTTATTAAGGTCCAATTAAGACTATATTATAGGTTGCTCTTTTCAGCAAAAGGACTTATATTAACCCCTTAAGGACACATGACATGTGTGACATGTCATGATTCCCTTTTATTCCAGAAGTTTGGTCCTTAAGGGGTTAAATAGACATTGGTAACTTGAGAGACTACATGCTTTAATATATTACTAGGATAATAAGCAATAGACTTTTTCTATGCTTTTATAAATGGCACTAGACATGGGTAATACACTTTGGTAAAATCAATAAAACCGGTTGGTTTATCCATTACATACATACCTACTACCAATTTCTGGAGTTTATATAGTTATCCTCCTCCTCGTCTATGGCTATATGTTGTAAGTTTAATTCTTCAACCAATTATCCCTTTATATCTAATAGGGATTTCTCAAGAGAGATTTTCCCTAATTTTTGTTTCATAATTATATTATATATTTTATGAGCACCCAAGACAATTCCTCTTCGCTCAACGTGGCCTGGAGAAGCCAAAAGGCTAGAAAAACCCGAGTTATTAACATTATACAGAACAGATGATCACCCACCCCTATTAAACATTCTCGTCTTTTGTAGTTTTGTAAATGCATTATACAGAAAGAAAAAACTCACAACTCCAGGCTGAAATTCCTCTTCTACTTTACAAAAATAAAATAATGATGAATACTTATTCTGTTCAGACAAAATATTTAAAAATAATCCAATATTTTAATTTTATTCTTTGCTCGATTACTTCAATTTACATGATTTTACCTAAACTAACTAGGGAAGCCATTCTGGAGAGTTAGAGGCGCTTTCCAAAAAGAAATTAACCACACTTTTTTTTATATATAACATATTCAAAAATTCATTTTAAAATATCTTTCTTTGCATATTTGTTTCTGGGATATCATAACAATAATAATAATATTGCTTTTAAAAGTACCACCAAGAATCTAGAGGCTATTGTACTCAATAGTATTTATTTTATTGAAAAGTATGAAAGGCTGATGTGAAAATTCTTGGATTTAATCTTGCAACTGTGAGATTCTGCAGTTGGAGAACTAATCCACTGAGCCATCTCTCTACATCAATATCAATGGTCCATGGCTAAACCCAATAAGAGAAGTGGTTACGGGATATACAGTACATCTATTAGGGATTCCAATAACGTTTCAGTAAAAAGAGTTTGAATCATATATTTTGTCCATATGTATGTTTTATGAAGTCAATTACTGGAATATATTATGACTGATACATAATATGCTATAAAAGATTCCAAACTGTACAAACCCCTTGCTCTCGTTCCATTGCTGTATAGAATGTAATACAGTTCCCCAAGGATTGACAAAGAGAACAGGTGTCTAATAGGGACAGTATGCTAACCCCATAAAGACACCATAATGAGCTGGGCAGGGACAGGTAGGATGGACTTTCTTGGGTGGTCTTCTGATCTTTTGCTACAAATGGCCGAATCTCTCAAACCAGTTTGACACTTTGCACTAAAACAGACCCATGCACATCTAACCCTTTACCAATAAAACACACATGCATGATCCATGCTGAACTCGGCAAGCAGAGGTGGTATCTGTCTTAGGTTTATTTAGCCAGTTGCTACCCATTAGCCAAATACAGTAAAACAAAAGGTCGACACAGCATAGTTGGTTTATGCTGCAACCCTAGAACCTATTTAAACATTAGGTTTGACGGTTCGATCTCCAGCATCAGCTAAATACTTTAATGCTTATAAGGTTGATACAAACATCACCATTGAGTTGGGTTATAGCATCTACAGCATGGACATACTCAAAATGAGCAAGAAGATCTGTAGTATTAAAATATAATTGATAATTAAGTACTGAAATGATTAATACATAGTTACTACTATATTTACAAAAAAATAGTAAGAAATTGCGAAGACAGTTACAAACCATACTAATAGAAAGCCTTCATAGGTTTTGCATGAGGGAGCAAAGTCAACAACAAAAAATTAAATATGAGTAGTCGTCCTTAGTATCCATTTAATAATGGTATTGGGTGGGCAGCCATGGGACGACCTGACAAAATGACCCACTCCAAAAATAACTACCCCAAACAATGGCACCCAATTAAAAAGTAATGACACTATTTCCTTGATTTTGTTAAGGCCTTTGACACAGTAGACCATGACATTCAACTGCACAAATGTAAAAACTCAGGTATTGGTGATCGTTCGCTAACCTGGTTTCGATCGTATGTATCGGATTGCTCGCAATATGTGTCCATATCTGACAGCGACTCCCTCCCTCTCCCAGTCACGTGTGATGTTCCCCAAGGTTCCATTCTTGGCCCCCTACTATTTACATTATTTATAAATGATCTGCCTAATGTCTGCAAATCCTCAAATGTACACATGTACACAGACGACACAGTGATCTATGTGAGCAAATCCGAGCTACTGCAGCTTGAGGCTGTGCTCCAAGACCAGTTTACAGAGGTAGAAAAGTGGATCGCAAAAAACAAACTCTTCCTAAAAACTGACACAACTGTCACAATGATCTTTGGAACAGTACCCAAATTACACAATTCCCACCTATCCATCAAAACAAATTCAAATGGCACACTGACCGCAGTCCACTCTTTCAAATACTTGGGTATGATGTTAGACCCCAATCTATCTTTTGGCCTCCACATAGAAAAACTTGCATCTAAACTTTATCCTAAACTAGGTGCCATGTACAGAAACAAATCCTGCCTAAACCCTACAGTAAAGGAAAAGATTGTACAGCAAATGCTGATGTCAATCATTGATTATAGGGATGTAGTATATGCATCTGCACCGCAATCCCACATTAATAAACTCAATACATTGTATAACTTGTTCTGCCGATTTGTGCTACAATGTAATTACAGGACCCACCATTGTGACATGCTAAAAGAACTAAACTGGCTGTTGCTGGAATCCAGATGCACCCTTCATCTTTCCAGCCTTGTGTTTAAGAGGTTTTCTGGGAAACTCCCACCCTACCTGAGCAAAATGCTCTCCCCAGCCTCTCCCACCTCCTATAACCTCCAATCCAGTACCAGCACTTTATTTAGTCTACCTCAATACAAAAAGAAAGCGGCCCGATCCTCCTCCTCCTACAGAGCGCCACGATTGTGGAACGACCTTCCACACTTTAAAATCTTCCCCAAGCCTAGAGTCCTTTAAGAGATCCCTCTCTACATACCTCAAAACAGCATGCACATGTCATGGGTGATTATATTATATATTTCCTACGTGTTCTATGGCAAATTTTGTATATATTGTGTATTAACCCCTTAAGGACTGAGCCAAATGTACACGTGAACAAAAACGTAAACAAAACCTGGCATTTGCACTACATGTCTGTCCAACTGTAATTCACCTCTTTCATATTAAATGCACCCACACTCATTATATATCATTTTATTCAGGGGAAACAGGACTTTCATTTAATATCAAATATTTAGCTGTGAAAACATAATTTAATATGAAAAAAATGGGAGAAAATAAGAAATGTTATTTTTTTTAGTTCTACATGACATTTTAACTGTCAATGTCATAATACGGTTTGCTTTTACTGCAATAAAATATACATGTTTGTATTCAGCAAAGTCTCACATGTAAAACAGTACCCCCTATGTACAGGTTTTATGGCGTTTTGGGAAGTTACAGGGTCAAATATAGCACATTACATTTGAAACTGAAATTCGCCAGATTGGTTACGTTGCCTTTGAGACTGTATAGGAGCCCAGGAATGAAATTTACACCCATAATGGCATACCATTTGCAATAGTAGACAACCCAATGTATTGCAAATGAGGTATGTCCAGTCTTTTTTAGTAGCCATATGGTCACAAACACTGGCCAAAGTTAGCGTTAATATTTGTTTGTGTGTGAAAAATGCAAAAAATGCCAATTTTGGCCAGTGTTTGTGACTAAGTGGCTACCAAAAAAGACTGGACATACCCCATTTGCAATACCTTGAGTTGTCTACTATTGCTAATGGTATGCCATCATAGGGGTAATTTTCATTCTTGAGCTACCATAGGGTCTCAAAGGCAACTTGACCAATCTGGTGAATTTTAATGTGAAAAAACTGAAACGCAAGCCTTATATTTGACGCTGTAACTTTTGAAAACACCATAAAACCTGTACATGAGGGGTACTGTTGTACTCGGGAGACTTCGCTGAACACAAATATTTGTGTTTCAAAACAGTAAAAAGTATCACAGCAATAATATCATCCGTGTAAGTGCTGTTTGTGCGT